ACCAGTTGATGGTTTGGTGGTGGGCGTCGGCTCTGGGACCTGCACGCGTGCCGCCCTTCTGCCCCCAGCTGGCCACACCCCCACGCCACCGCCCCGCCCCGGGCCCCCGCGCCGCCCCCGCCGCAGGCCTGCTGACTAAGAAGGCCCAGGAGGGGGCTCAGACGACGATGGAGGCGACGCTGATGGCGCAGCAGACGCCCGCGCAGCGCGACCAGGTACGCCCCTCCCCACGCGCCGCTCCTTGGCTGCGCCGCCGTGCAGCCGCCGTGCAGCCAGTGCTGCGTGCAGGCTGCTGCGTGCAAGCTGCTGTGTGCAAGCTGTGCAGCCGCAGCAGGTGCAGCCGCAGCCGCTCATCTCGCCCTCCCCGCCTGCCCGCCCCGCCTGCGCCGCCGCCGCCTCCCCGCAGGTCCGAACGCTGCAGCCTCAGGCGGTGGCGGCGTGGTGGCAGCAGGGGCACCCAGCTGCTGCTGCTGCGTGCAAGCTGTGCAGCCGCAGCAGGTGCAGCCGCAGCCGCTCATCTCGCCCTCCCCACCTGCCCGCCCCGCCTGCGCCGCCGCCGCCTCCCCGCAGGTCCGCACGCTGCAGCCTCAGGCGGTGGCGGCGTGGTGGCAGCAGGGGCACCCCGGCTGGGCCATCTATCCTGTGGACAGCGAGCAGTTCCTTACCACGGGTGCCCTGGACAGCGTCAGCCTGCCGCTGCCCAGCGATCCAGGCATGGCAGGCCCGCCGCTGGCGCCGCCGCCGCCGATGCCGGCGGCGGGCGCGGGCGCGCCCGGCTTTGCACCGCCGCCGCCGTCAGGCGCGGCGGCGGCGGGGGTGGGGGGGCCTGGCCTGCAGGGCCCCGCGCCCCCGCCCGCCTTCAACCCCACCCTGGCCTCGGTGTTTGGCGCGGGCGGGATGAGCGGCATGAGCCAGGACGCGCTGCTGAGAGCCATGTCGCCCTTCCTGAACGGAGGTGGGTGGGTGGGTGGGTGGATGGGTGGGCCTGGTGTGGCGCCGGGTGTGTGTGTGCGTGGGCGGGTGCTTGATTTGATGCCGGCGGTGTGTGCTGTGGGCATCAGTTTGTGGCAGCGCGTATGACGTGCGTCGCTGCCCTGTTGCAGGGCCGATGCCGCCCGGACTGGCGGGCATGCACCCGCTCATGCTTGGCGGCGGGCCCGGCGGCCTGCCCCCCGGGCTGGCGGGGCTGCCGCCGCACCTGCTGGGCGGCGGCGGGGGGCCCGCCAGGGAGAGCCCGCGGGGTGAGCTCGGCTGCCCGCGCTGCCCGGCGCCGCCTGCCGCGCTCTGGATGAGTTCGCGGAGCGACCGCGCCCGCGGCTGAGGCCTTGCACAATCACCAAACTTTGAGCCTGTTGGGTCACAAGGAGGGGCTTGTCAGGCCCTTACCCTGCTCCCCCTGCTGCCTCCCACCTCCCTTCTCGCCTGCAGCGCTGCCGGGCGGGCCGCCATCCGCGTTTGCCTCGGCGGCGCAGGGCGGCGGCGGCGCGCCGGGCGGCCACGGCGGCAACGGCGGCGCCCCCACGGGCCCCACCCCCTTTGCCAACACCGGCAGCGCCCTGATGCCGCCGCCGCCGCCCGTGAGCAAGTCTGGAGAGGGCGGCAGCGGCGGCGGCGGCGGGGGAGGAGGAGGAGGCTCCATGCCGCCGCCTCCACCCGCCGCCGGCCCTTCCTTCAACCTGGCCAGCCTCAGCGGGCTGCTCGGCGGCGACCTGTCCCACCTGCCGCAGCTGGCGGGCCTCGCCAACTTCCCCAGCCTGCCTCCGGTGAGCCTGGGGGCGGTGTGGTGGCGTTTGGTGGTGGTTGGTGGTGTGTGGTGGTGGTGTGTGGTGTGTGGTGCAGGTGGCTGGGGGTGGTGGTCCTGTTGCCCTGCGTGTGGCCCGAGGGTGGCCTGAGCCTGGAGCTGCCCACCGCACTTGCCGAGCGCCCGTCCCGCCTCTCTCGCTGCCTGCTCTGCTCCCGCCGGCGCTCTCGCTGCCGATCCTGCCAGCCCCCGCCCGCCCGCCGTCGCCGTGCCGTCCTGCCAGCCTGCAACCGGTGCCGTCCTGCCAGACTGCCAACCGGTGCCGCCTGCGCGCCTGCCTGCCTGCGTGCGTGCAGGGCATGATGAGCGGCGACCTGGAGCAGCTGCTGACGCAGTCGTCGCTGCTGGGGCCGGAGGGGCTGCTGGCGGGGGCGGGGCGCGCCCCCTCCTTCAACATCGGCACCATGGGCAAGCTGGAAAGCTTCAACCTGCCTGATGAGGCGCTGGCGGCAGCCATCATGCAGATGGACCGAGGCGGCGGCGGCGGCGGCGGCGGCGGCCAGCTGGCCCGGGAGCAGTCCCAGCGCCAGCACTCGGCCGCCGTGTCAGCGGCGCTGGCGGCGGCCGCGGCCGTGTCTCGGCAGGAGGGCGGGCAGCAGGGCGGCGGCGGCGGTGGCGGCGAGCCGCGCGGCGGCGATGGCGGCGCACCTTCCAGCCACGCGGCCGACGGCGCCAGAAGAGACGACGGCGGCGGCGGCGGCGCGGGCGGCGGCGGGC